GGAACTCCCAGCAGCTGCAGACTGATGTTAGCTGCCAGAGGGAAGCAGGCACTGCTGGGGCAGTGGGGAGTTTAACCAGTAACTAGCACTGATAAGCATTAGCTCTTCAGTTAACCAGTTTGAACTCTTGCTACAATCCAGTTGACTCCTAGTTGTGTCTGGCATGGACCTGCACTTCCTGAAGTTCTGCTATGGGTGGACTGAAGGCGCTCGGGGCCCCACACAGCATGCAGCCCAGCAACCTTATCTAGTGCAGACAGCTGCATTGGAGTTTAACCCCTCATACAGAACCTCAGAAGTTCGGCATCTCTATTAGAAACCTTCACTCCCTGCTGGACATAGGGCTTTATCAAGGCATCTTTCCCTCCTAAACGGCCACACTTCATCACTGTTCAGTGATGCTGAGGGGCAGGGAGCAGTGTAAGTCTAACAGGGTATGGGGCTAAACTCTATCCCTGATGTGCCTGGCGACTATGAGCGACTAGGTGCTGCCCCACCTTCACTTCCCACAGTTTGTCTAACTGGACTGTGACCTGCTCAGAGAAGGGACTTTCCCTTGCTGGATGTTGTGCAGGTCTCAGCTGCCATTGCAGGTCTATAAGGCAAATGACAGATTGTTCCACCGATCAATAACAGCTTGTAACCTCTTCTTCTCCAGTCCCAAAGCAGCTCACTGATAGAGTGGCCTGTACCTCCTGTGATCTAAACCTCTCTGATTGTTAACACCTTCCCTTGTGCAAACACCCCTCCTCTTACCAGTGAGGGTGGGGTTTCAGGATTCGCAACCAAATACAAGTACCCAACAAACATGGTATCATATATTCGGATGCTTTTATAGGACAAACCATTCCTATGGCTTATTTACAGAAAATCTCAGAAGCAAACAAATGAAAATATAAAGCTATCCAACAGAACATGCCCCCTGCTTCTCCACTCAAAGACATACATCAAATCACTAACTCAACTGACATAAAGGACTGGCAAAGCACCACAAGTGCAATCCTGCCACTGTAGAAATGCCAGACTTCAAACACCATTTCCTCTAAACTTGCTACCAAAACAAGCCAACTTTTCAACTTACCATCCCTTCTTCACACTTTTATGCAGCCCCACACACTCAAGCACTTCCCTTCTCCAAAACAGTAACCCTAAAAGCTCCAAGGACTTTTGAGTCAGATCATCATAACTGGTCTGTTACTCAGCAAAAGTTCAGAAAGGCAGAACACTAAGTGCTGATGATTCACACACCAAATCAAAGGGGAAAGCATTATTTTTCTCCCTCACAATAATCTAATTAAACTCCTAACAGGAAAAAACTAAAATGGGACAAAAATCACATCTAAGGAAACAGGAAATGAAATAGTTCATTTTCATCCTCCTTTGAAAAAGGGAAACAATCCAACTCAAATCCATAGCAATCCAAACAACAGGAAGAATGTTTCCCACAGACAGATTTATCACTATGCTTTGCAAGAACCACAGGGCCTTAAATACTATGCTGAACTAGAGGACAAGAAAGATCACCAAGTCAATGTATTTCATGTCCTCATACAAAAAGTGAGCTCTTCATCTCTGTTGTATTTGCACAATGGAGAAATTAATTATATCTGAATGGAAATAACCTTACGAATTTAAGAGGCTCTTGCAGCTAGTTCACAAGTCTTCCTCTGGAGCCGTCATATCCAATATATGCTATATGAACCTTCCAAAAGGAGCATCCATCAACAAAGTAATGCTTGTTCCTGAAGAAATAATTGGCCCGAGAACAGCATCAACCTTTCAGTAAAATTATGAATCCACTATATAAGCAGATTGTCAAGCTTTAGCTCCTGCAGTGAACATTGCTTCAACCATACTAGCCTGGAAGAATCCCATTTCAAAAAACAAACTAGGAAATTTGGACACCAGCATCCAACCCTCTGAAAAATGTCTCTGGCTGCACCATTTACACTGCAACTAACACAGTTGCCTTGGCAACATTGGATTAGTTCTTCGAAGCACTAAATTGCATCTTCAAAACATGGTGAGGCTAAGTTTTTTTGAGAAACCTCTGAATAAGGCTGTTTTGAGGACGAACACAAATATCCCTTTCAACAATTAATGAAGAGAAAATACAAATAGTGCTATAAAAACATCAGTCCTTTCACTGTTGCAACTTCTCAGGACAGCTACAGTAAACCCTAAAGGAGAAAATTCAAGAGAGAGACCAAATTCAAAAGAAACCAAAGAGACTTCCAGTACAAAAATAACGCCTGACATCCTCACCTCTTTGTCGGGGGGTTAGGGATCCAAAGACAGCACATTGCTTCATTTCTTAGCCACATGGGCTTGCCAGGATAGATAAAAATCCAATAACAATAAAAAATTGATTTTTTTATATCTATTTGTGTCTATCTGCCTGTGAGAGTTCATTTGTTCAAGAACTCCTCCTTAATGGTGAGAGCTAGAACCACAACATTTTGTATGCAGCTTCCTCTTCTGCTAACTTAACGCAAGGTCAGGGTTTGGTTGTGGCAGGAGAACCAGAAGCCACACAAGAAGGGCTGTTTTCCATAACATGCAAAGGGAGGGGCTGTTGTTTGGAGAGATGCCATATGAGAATGGCCACTGGGGGCAGCCAGGCCACAAGAGAGATCTATGCTGCAGTGTCCACCAAAGGTATGGTCAGCAGGGCTGAGGCTCAGCCATCCTGCCTGCCAGCAGACCAAGTAAGTAACTCAGCAAACCTAAATCCTGCCCCCTCCTGGTCCTTGGCTGCAGCATGAGAGGGTGGGAGAGAAAGAAGGCTGGGAGGAGCTGGGGGGAGAAAAAGAGGCCCCTGGTAACTGGGGGGCTAGATGGGACCCCTTGCTCTGATCCCCTCCTGAAGTGGTCAATTGCGGAAGAACTTTGTAAGTGATAGTTTAGGGGTGGTGAGGCCTGCATTCTTTCCCCCCTTTCCCTTTTCCCTATATCTGATGAGCCAGAAGCAAGTCTTCGGGAACATACGCTACTTAGGATAAGCATTGTTGGCAGTACAGCAAGAACAAGTATAAGATAAGGGTAAAACACAAGAACGCATAAACAATTCTGTTTACCCATCACGTAAACAGGGCCAAAGGACAAGATGATCAAGATCAGAACCATATCGATAACTAACAGCTAAGCTTTACATCAGCACTAATGAGTAAGCCTTGGAAATTTCCAAACTGCCAAACAAGGCAGGAAAACTGTATTTAAGGCTGCCTCAGAGCCTAGCAAATTGGACTTCGCG